CTAAAACAGAGAAACGTAGAGGCAGATAAACCTGGTGGTTATCAGAATAGCAATGGAAAACATGTTTCCTCAAAACAGATAAACAGAAGCCGACAAACTATTGAGCTCCAATGAACCCGGACAGGGAAAAGGTGGGAAATTAAAAAGATATATATATTTAACCCTTTAAAGCCCGATCCAAGAAAAAAACAAAATAGAAAAATACTTTTTTTTGGTTTGAATTCCTTAGTTGCCCTTTTAACAAAATATGTAAAAAGAAAAAAACAGAAATACATTTTTGATATTAATAATTTATTACAATGCGATAAGTCAAGATTATTTTTTGTGTAGTCTTCTGCTCTCTGTTATCAGGTATATCTGATTGTATACAATAGGATTTTGAGCAAAGTTTTTACCATTAAATTATGCAAAAGGTGTCAGATGCAAAACATTTCAGAAACCGTATGTATTAAATATGATACATTAGGCATTATAGGGTTAAAAATGTCTCGAAAAAGGTATAATAAAAAATATAAAAATGGTAATTAATAATGTATCCAATACCACATATTGGAAGATCTCACATCTTCATAAACCTGCATGATGTTGTAGTGTATTTTTTTTAAGCAGGAAAGGTTCAAGGCTCAAAAAGGCAGATATAATCGGATGAAATGGTTATCAATGTGTAATGGTTCAGATTAATTTAGATCCTTAGCAACAGAGCACCAGGTGATACATACCCTAAGATATATGTGACACTTTTTTGCCATCTGTCATGCTGATCTTTAGATAAACTGGGCTGGGACTCTCTAAGATCTGCATGAGCCTCTTTGTTAATCAATCCTCCTCAGATATTGCTTTGTGTTTCCAGGGCAGATTTTTGATTAGATTTGATTGTTTATTGTTTTTGTTAAGCAGAAGAATCCCCAAATGATCAAGGTCATTACAAAAGACCAAAGGTCCTCTCCACCCATGGCTTGGTATGAAAGGTCGGCAGATGCCCGTCATTGTGTGTGGCTGCGCATGCAGCAGACACAAATATGTATGCAAATTGCTCCTTGTTTTTATCACGTGTTTTGCCTTCCGGATTGTATGTGTCTCTGCAGCACCACTGGGGCCTCCGTCAGTACATGTGTTCATAGATATTCATGTCTTCACACCGAGCTGTAGCGATGTGGAATCACATGTTCAACCCGTGTATATGACACAAACTGGGACATGTGCTTTAGAGGGAGTCTAAAATAATAAAATAATTAAGTGCAAAAATAACACATGTTGCATAACAATATGTTAATAGGATAGGGGACTAGTCAAGTGGCTGCACTGCAAAAAATCTAAATCTAGATAAGTAATTTTTTTCTTAAAATAAATGCATTTGTTCTTGAACTGAGGAGGTAAAAGAGACATTTTGCCAATAGAACAAGACAATTTACACTTAAAATAAGAAAACACAATTGCATTTTCTTGTTTTAAGTGCATATTATCTAATTTTCTTATTTTAAGAGTAAAATTACTTATTCCATTGGCAATCTATCTAATTTACCTACTCAAATTAAGGCTGAATACACTAATTTAAGAAATTTTTACTTATTTCTAGATCGTTTTTGCAGTGTGTAACACTTTATTTACAATATGCATTTGTTTCTCTTCAGCACATTAAAATATTTAATCTATAACCAGAAGGCTGGAGGCCATTAGAGTCTGCCTCATGGGGCTTCAGCACCTCTTGTTGAAGAAAACCCTAAATGAGACCATGAACAGATAGACACGGTTTCTATTCACACAATTTACAAAAATAATTTGTAAATAAGAAAAATACCACATGAAACGAAAGAAAAAGGATCTACTTTATTGTCATTGCTGTGTCACAAGTACAAAAAAATTAAATGAACTCTCCTCATTTACCAAGATGTCAAATTCTTCAATCTCAATCAATGTCAATCACAGATTTTCTCAGCAACTGGAGTAAAATCCCGAAGTGTAATGTTTAATTGAATGTTTCAACAATAGTCCAGTTATGAGCAAACTGTAAAACTGCTTTTATTATGTTCCCGTTATTATGAAAAATTAGGCCTCTAATTTAAGTACTAAGCACACAAAGGGAATAAAAAAGGCTGAAAGTTAGAGCATTGATTTTAGAAGTCCTAAATATGATAACCTTTCATTGATCTGAGGGACCAGAGGACCAAGCTTCAGAGACCAACTCAATAAATCTCTATCTTCTCAGAGACAAGCAGAGACTTGACCAACAAACCCTCTGACTTTCAAAGTGATGATGAGATAATGAGGAAAAGATCATTAATGAAAGTGAAACTTCAATCCAGGTTAAATAGAGGTCATGGGATGTATTGCTTTAAAAGTTCCGCATCGGCAGCAGCGCATCGACAGGAATCTGAATCTAAATTAGGAATCTCACCATGATAGCATAAGTCAGATACTCACTTGGTATCGATATTGATGATACTGTGGATTTTGTGATGGATTATGACTCATAGCCAGATATGAAGTTTAAACATTCTGCAGTCAAACATGACTTACATGCTATATAAACTATGTATGAACATGGACAAAATAAAGAATAGACCTTCCTCAGGCTGCTGCAGCAGAAGACATGGTGTCAGGATACTGATGCAATAAAAAATACCTTGGTAATGTGCAGCATATTTTGTTTTTTCAAATCAAAGGACTGTTCACATTAGGGCTGGAGGGATAGGTTTTAACAAGAAAAATTAAGATATTGCACATGCAATATGCATATGCAATGCATTTTGGAGGCACTGACATTCTGTAGATAGATAGATAGATAGATAGATAGATAGATAGATAGATAGATAGATAGATAGATAGATAGATAGATAGATAGATAGATAGATAGATAGATAGATAGATAGATAGATAGATAGATAGATAGATAGATAGATAGATAGATAGATAGATAGATAGATAGATAGATATATAGCAGAGAAAGCAGGACTCCAGGACAGGGATCAAGATCAGAATTGAGTAGTAATGGATTCCAAGAGTCCACAGTTCGGTCAGGGGTCCGATCCACATAGATCTAGGTTCCAGGAATCCACAAGAGCGTGAAGGCAGGTTCTGAGTTCAGTGCGTTTAGCAACCAGTTCAGACAGAAACGCACCTGGGAGACAGAATCCAGCAGGAGTCCAACCGTGGTTCAGGTGAACAGATCAGGCAGAGACAGACAGAGCCAGTGGATGAGAGGGAACGGAATCAGGAAATCAGAACCCCTAGGGGAACACTGAAACACTCTCGCCACTGCTTATGGAATAACTCGCCTGAGGACACTAGCTTGAGAATAAACTCCTCACTGGAACATGAACCTTGGAAATAAATCTAACCAATGAAACCGACAGACAGGACACAAACAGAAATCAAACAATGATCTGGCCCCGATAGCTGGAACTGAACCCAATATAAAGGAACAGATGCAGGTGGATAAGCTTAGTGATAATTAGAAAACCAGGCAGAGTTAAGCAGATGAGTGAAATGAACAATTAAGGTGAGCTATCAGAGCAGATCAAGACATAGATAGATGTATTTAGAGGGTCTGAAGCGTTAAAAGTGTAAAATGTTTAGTATTGAGATAGTTATGACTGATTAAATGGTTCATTAAACTTGTCAGAAAAAAAAGACACTGTGTGAAGCGGGTATACACTGGAAAAACGATTTAGAAATAAGTAAAATTTCCTTAAATTAAATGTATTTACCCTTGATTTGAGTAGGTAAATGAGGTAGTTTGCCAATGGAATGAGTATTTTTACTCGCTAAATAAGATAATTAGATTAAATTAAATTGAAATTGTCATAATGAAGGTGACTCTGGATGAGAGCAACTACAGAGACTGAAGATGGTTAAGAGGTTTTATTTAGAAACTAGGCAGTGGACATGAACAGGAAGGCAGTTTGGTCAGGTCAGGTTCTTCTGGGCTTAGTAGAGAGGCTGTGGTCCGGTCTCGGGGGGGAAGTGTCCCCGGTGGTCCGTGTGCTGACCAGTACTCTCTTCCTGGTTGGAGGTTCGAGGGTGGACAGGCAGGCGATCGCAGGTAGGAGGGCTGAACGGTGGTTAACCCGAGATCCTTCTCAGGTTCTTGGTTGTATCTCAGGCGGAGGGTCCAAAGTCTTAGATTCACGGCTGGGTCCAGGGGTCAGAAACAAGGGTTCTGCAGGAAAAGGATCGAAAATAGATTCAGACTAGACTAGACTAGACTACAGAGAATCTAGAGGAGTGCCCCCAGTGAATAACCTGAGAGCGCACAGCAGAAGGAACATAGAGTCTCTGGGGAGGACCACCACCTGGATCAGGTTCACTCTCTTGGGCTCTTTTAATCTTGTTCTCAAGATCCCAGGTGATGGCTCCCACCACACAAAATTCAGGGACGATGGGAACACCTTAACCTCTTCAGAAGTGGAAAACAGACGTGACAGAGCATCGGGCTTCGTGTTCTTGGATCCAGGGCGGTAGGTAATGATGAAGTTGAACCGAGAGAAGAACAGGGACCAACGGCTCTGACGAGAATTTAAACGTCTGGCTGACTGGATATAGGAAAGATTCTTGTGATCAGTCCAGATGACTATGGGCAACTCAGTTCCCTCCAGCCAATGACGCCACTCCTCCAAGGCCATCTTGATGGCGAGGAGTTCTCGATCCCCTACGTCGTAGTTTCTCTCAGCGGGAGAGAATCGTCTGGAAAAGAAGGCGCAGGGGTGAAGTTTGCCATCCGAAGGCGACATCTGTGATAGAACAGCTCCAGAGTCAGAGGCATCCACCTCCAAAGTGAACTGAGCTGACGGATCAGGGTAGGTGAGAATGGGAGCCTGTGAAAACATCTCCTTTAAAAGGCGGAACGCCTGATCAGCTTCTGGGGACCACTGGAAGACGCTCTTGGTGGAGGTCAGAGCTGTGAGGGGTGAGGCAAGAATACTATAATTCTTGATGAATACCCGGTAAAAGTTGGCGAAACCCAAGAAGCGCTGGAGTTGCTTACGGGTATTGGGCACGGGCCAGTTGACGACTGCCTCCACCTTTCCGGGGTCCGTCTTCACCTGTCCACCCTCGAAAATGAAGCCAAGGAAGCTGATGGTTCTTTGGTGAAACTCGCACTTCTCAGCCTTAACGAAGAGGCGGTTCTCCAGAAGACGTTGAAGCACCTGGCGGACATGTTGCTGATGTTGTTGGGGGTTCTGGGAATAAATAAGGATGTCATCAATGTACACAAACACGAACTGATTTATAAAGTCTCTCAGGACGTCATTTACGAGGGCCTGGAAAACGGCTGGAGCATTAGTGAGACCGAAGGGCATGACCAAGTACTCGTAGTGACCGATGGGGGTCTTGAACGCCGTCTTCCATTCGTCTCCCTCTCGAATCCGGACCAAGTGATAGGCGTTTCTAAGGTCCAGTTTAGTAAAGATGGTGGCGCCCCGAACCGTATCAAATGCTGATGCCAGAAGGGGAAGAGAATATTTATTCTTTACAGAAATCTGATTAAGACCACGGTAATCGATGCAAGGACGCAGTGTTTTATCCTTTTTAGCCACAAAGAAGAAACCTGCCCCTAGGGGTGAGGACGAAGGTCGAATGATGCCGGTCTTTAAAGAGTCGCTAATATATTTCTCCATGGCACCTAGCTCTGACTGAGATAACTTATAGAGGCGAGCAGAAGGCAGAGGGGCCCCAGGAAGAAGATCAATAGCACAATCATAAGGGCGATGCGGCGGGAGACTAAGAGCCAGATCTTTGCTAAAAACTAGGTGGAGGTCATGGTACTCGGGCGGCACATTTGACAGATCAGAAGGATCGTCAGGAAGTTCAGGACTAGCCGAGGTGTGAGGGAGAGCTGAATGGAGACAAGTAGCCAGACAACCGGAGCTCCAGGTCTCAATACGCGAGTCTCTCCAGTTAATGTGAGGGTTGTGAGCAGCTAACCAAGGGTAACCTAAAACAATAGGTGAGTGTCTTGTAGGAAAAACGAAAAAAGAAATGGATTCATGATGATTACCAGAGGAGATAAACAGAAAAGGGAGAGTCTGCTGAGTTATAGTAGCTAGTGGGCTACCATCAAGGGCTGTAACAGAGATGGGGGATGGTAAAGTACGGACCGGAATATTATAATGGTTAACTAAGGCTGGATCGATGAGATTTTGCTCAGAACCGGAGTCAACCAAGGCGGAAACAGGGTGCTGCTTGTCCTGAAGGCAAATTACAGCCTGAAGCAGGAACCTAGAACTGGGAGTCTCGGAGCATGTGCCCACCAGTATTCCCTGAACTACTGGTGGGCCAGGTCTTTTGGGCGAAGGGGACAAGATAAACGAAAATGACCGGCTGCACCACAGTAAAGACACCTTCTATTTCTGAACCGCTGTTCTTTTTCTTCGGTAGATAACCTGGCTCTGCCAATTTGCATGGGCTCATCAATAGGCTGACTACCAGAAACAGGGGGTTGTGATTGATGTGACACCACAGGAACCGGAAGACTGAAACGTTGAGCAGGGGAGCGGTCCCGGTCCCGGCCCCGCCTCTCACGAGTCCTCTCACGAAGGCGTTCGTCTACCCGAACAGCTAGGTCAATTAGCCCCTCCAGGCTATCGGGCTTGTCGCGGGTGGCCAGCTCGTCTCTAAGCCTATCTGAGAGAGAGTTTAGGAAAGCCGTCTTTAACGCGCGGTTGTCCCACGCAGCCTGAGCGGCCAGAGTGCGGAAGTCGACGCTGAAGTCAGCAACCGACCGGTTTCCCTGCTTCAGCTCCCACAATCTTTTGCCTGCCTCCTCCTCGCTAAGGGAAGAGGAAAAGGTTTGTTTAAAAATACCTAAGAAGTCAGCATAGGAGTAATCATGGATCGTGGTCTCATCAATAAAAGATTCTGCCCATCTAAGAGCACGATCTCTGAGAAGACCAACAATATGAGCTATCTTATGAGCGTCATCCGGAAAAGATTGTGGGGAGCGACTGAAAACCAAAGAACATTGGAGGAGAAACCCTCTGGACTTACTCAGATCACCTGAAAACGGTTCGGGGACTGGGATTGAGACACCGACTCCGGGAACGGGCGGCAGAGCGGCTACAGCGGGAGGCCTTGGAGCTGGAGGAGGAACGGAGGTAGGTTGATTTAAGTTCAGCAAGGCTTTCATGTCCTGAAGCTCGTGGGTGAGAGTGCTCATTGTCTGCATCACTTGAGTTTGCTGCTGGACCATGGTTTGTATCAGGGTTTCATGCTGGCCTAGTAACAGGCCCTGATGGGAAATCGCACTCCGTAGCTGCTCACCAGAGTCAGGTTGGTCAGTTCGTTCTGTCATAATGAAGGTGACTCTGGATGAGAGCAACTACAGAGACTGAAGATGGTTAAGAGGTTTTATTTAGAAACTAGGCAGTGGACATGAACAGGAAGGCAGTTTGGTCAGGTCAGGTTCTTCTGGGCTTAGTAGAGAGGCTGTGGTCCGGTCTTGGGGGGGAAGTGTCCCCGGTGGTCCGTGTGCTGACCAGTACTCTCTTCCTGGTTGGAGGTTCGAGGGTGGACAGGCAGGCGATCGCAGGTAGGAGGGCTGAACGGTGGTTAACCCGAGATCCTTCTCAGGTTCTTGGTTGTATCTCAGGCGGAGGGTCCAAAGTCTTAGATTCACGGCTGGGTCCAGGGGTCAGAAACAAGGGTTCTGCAGGAAAAGGATCGAAAATAGATTCAGACTAGACTAGACTAGACTTTTACTTCGACTAGGACTAGGCTTGGGTTTGGTCTGTTACCAAACGCTGTGACGTTAACGAACTGACGCCCTCCTCCTGGTTCCAGCTCCTTAAGAAGGGTGGTGATCATCTCAGATGTAGTGCACCTGCCCGTCCATCCCTGCAGAGGAGAGAGAGAGAAAAACTGGCCTGCACCCGGATGGAACCCGGAGTGTGACAGAAATAAGACAATGCAGTTGTGTTGTCTTGTTCCATTGGCAAAATGTCACTTTTATCTACTCAATCAAAGAACATTTTAAGATTATTTTAAGAAAAAATGACCTGTCAAGATTTGGATTTTTTCCAGTGCTTTCAAAGATGGCTGATGCAGAGCTTAACAGCTCTAATATGCAATAGTGGCCGGACAAGTCTTCTTTTTTTATATATATATGAATAGCAATTTCAAGAGAGCCAGTTTTATTTATAACTTTTGTTGGGGGTGTAAATAATTAAATGCTGTTAAACCATCAAAGCAGGCTTCCTCCGTGTATGTTTTTGTTTTAAATTGTATAACCTTGAGAGCAAAATCCTTTTGCTCATTTTTATTGGCTATAAACAAGTTCTTAGAGTAAGAAGGATGAAATGGTTTAGTTTCACACCATATCACACTGCATTTATCAAAAAAAAAAAAATGATTAATTGTGCTTTAAGTTTTGAATTTTATTGAAATAACTCCTTGATTTGTTAGATATGCACAGGTCTACAATAGCATCCCGTTGGCTTCAGGAGGATATTTTCTTTTGCTTAGCAGGGAAAAAAAGAAGGCCAGAAAAGGAAGCTGTTTATTTTCTGAAGTGTTTTTTGATGGGAATGCCAGAAAGTCTGACAGGGTGTGAGAGTGTAATGCAGGGAGACTGAGCCGGGAGAAGAGAAATGAGGGAGAAGTAAACTACAAGCAGGCTGACAGCCCCAGAGCTTCTCCATCACTTTACAGCCATGTTCAAAGTTAAGTCAGCTGTGCAGCACCCTGTGGAGCTGCTCTGCTGACAGCGACCGAGAAAGGTGTTGTCACCCCTTTAAACAGGAGGAGAAAAGGCATTAGTGGCTGTGGAGTGGTGTGCTGACTGTTCTGTCCGTGATGGGGAAGTTAGCTGGAGCTTTTCTTCCAGAATGTACTCAGGTGGAAGAAAAACGAGGAGCAGGTTTGGGAAATTACATTTTACCTAAAGAAGCCAAAGGGTCAGAGATGGGAAGTAACGAAGTACAAATACTTTGTTTTTCTGATATTTTTACTTTACTTTACTACTTATTTTTATGGCGACTTTTTACTTCTACTCCTTACATTTTTACACAAATATCTGTACTTTCTACTCCTTACATTTTTAAAAATTGGCTCGTTACTTTAGTTTTGAATCATTTCAATGGAGTTACCGTTATTATTTTTCACGTCATCAATACCAAATTCAATCTAATTGGATGGGAATCTACGTTGCATTTTTATCTGTACTTTTACTCAAGTACGGAAAGTGAGTACTTTTGCCATCTCTGCAAAGGGTGGCTGATTTTGAAAGACAACTTTAAGCACGATAAAGTATTCAGAGTAAAATACATGCAAAGGGAATAGTAGAAGGATTTAACAGGCTCATAAAGGACATGCAAAGAAAGAAAAAAAAGACAAAAATACAAGAACTGAATCAGGGATGGCAGGCAGAAACATAAGGAATGGAAGAGAGTAGTTACATTATTATTGAAAGAGAGACAGAATAGAAGGGGGGAAGACAAAGGCATCAAAAAGATGACAAGATGACAAAGATAAAAACTGTGAAAAATGAACAAAATGTAATGTAGGATTGATGCAGTAAGAATGAAATAATAACAACAGATGACAAGAACATTAATGACAAGTAGATGAAAAATGTAAATATTCATTATTGTGAAGAATTTAACAGTGTTTTAAGTATTAGAAAGGACCAACTCAGGGAAACTGTAGTTTCATGTTGAGCAGAATCTCTGGTCCGGTCTTCAGTTGGGGTCAGATCAGCATCAATCACTGAGGCCGACCACACAGATCGAGTCCCTCTCTTTAGGCCATTACAATGGCTCCACAATAGGTTGTGGTCAACCTCTTCTGTCCTAAATGCAGGGGGGGCTGAGGTCAGGCGATCTGAATGACCGGTGCTCAAAAGTGATCTCATCTTTTATTGGTTTGCTGGATAATGGACAGTGGGCAGCGACGTGGGGGGTTGTGGGAACTAACTAAGCGGGAGAAGGGATGATGTCAGGATAGATTTATTGACAGTGGGTGGAATAACATAATCTGCAGTGTTTTAAGACAAATCACCTTAGTTACTCATAAACAGTTTCTTTGCTCCATGTAGGACAGACACAGAGATGAGTGATTGAGGCTTTAATTTAGACTTTAGTCACATCTTACCTGCAGGATTAATATTTCATTCTGATTTAAACTCGAGCTGCAAACATTCAAGCCTTAAAGGAATAGTACACCCAAAACATGATTAGCCTTCATTTTCTACTCACCCCCATGCTGAACAACACTCTGGAGTACTTTTTTGATATCTCAAATGCATCTGGAGATCTGGGAGGCTTCTTGCTGTCTGCTGACATTCAAATAATGGAGGTCTATGGCGCCCGAGGCAGAAAGGTCCATAAAAGTCCACAAAAAACGTGTCAATATTCCTCCATACTGCTCGTCCAATGTATTCCAAGTGTCCTGAGTGGGTAGCGTCCAGAATTTACTCGAAACGAAGTCATTTAGAATGTTTTTAGAGCATAAACATAACCCAAATTTATTCTTCTTATCATAGATTTCACAGCAAATAACCCATTAGCCTTTCAGGGCAGTGAAGTGATTCTCTACCCGCTTCCAACTCATGCTGGTAGGAGGAGATACTCTGCTTTGGGTCCTAATCAACATTAACCGCTTTTTCCAAACATTAACCCTTCAAAGCCAAGTGTATCATATTTGATACAGAAGATTTTGAAACCTCTACATCATCAGTGTGATGTTTTTGTTTTTGAAACCTTGACTTACATAATCAGACACATGTAGTGAACAGAAAACATATAAAAGATGATATAGAAATGCGTAATATATCAAAATTGATGTAAATAAATGATGTAATTTCATGTTTTTACAAAATTTGTGTAGTTATTTCATTTGTCACAAAATTCAATGACAATTCTAATTTTGGAAAATTTGAATCTTCTGTCAATTATTTCCTGGTTCAGGCTTTAAAGGGTTAAATGGCTTTCTCCCAACATTTCTTTATATCGTTTGGATATTAACTGGGAAAAAATAAAAGCCTGAATTAAAGTTCAACTCAAATATAAGAATGTCCTAAAAAGTAAAACTAAATGTATTAATTTGCACCACTGGGCTGAACGATTTGACTTAAAAATATAATCACAGATTTTTTCAAAGCAGTGATTATATCCTTTTTTTCTCAGTTAAGTTTCATAATAAAAATGACAAAAGACATAAGCTGCTTTCAAAAACTTCTACTTCATTTGTTTCTTCAGGAAAATAACTTTAATTAAAATGAAATGAAATGAAATCCTTCATTAAGAAAAAAAGGTAAGTTGCTTTAGACATTGTCTCTGGTTAAGAAATGGCTTGACAGTCTATGTGAAATATTTGTCTGTGCTAGTGGCTCTTAATGCACCCGACTCCAGCCAGAGTATATTCCTTGTTAAGTTTCTGGAAATCCTAAGAGGATTCCTCAGTCAACCACAGCTCCAATAGTAGTGGTACTGTGGCTATCCAGCTGTTCATGTTGCACTTTTACCAACTAAACTCATTTTTAAAGGGGGATGGGTTGTTGTACTTCATATGGGGTCCACCAAGTTAATGTTGCTTATGGGCCTATTGTGTCATTACGCCATTGACAGGGAGAGTATATAAGGAAAACGGAACAAAGACTAAGGTAATCAGTTGATATGGAGCAGGTGTGGATGGAAGTGACTAGAAGGGAGCTAAGGGAAGGGAGACAGGCACAAGGAGGCAGCAGTGAGTAACTCAAGACTGATTAAATGTAACACAGAATGGAAAATAAACAAAACATCAACAAATCAGAACTAGTTAGATAACTGAAAACTCAGAACTCAAAGTCCAAAAGTGGAGAACCATAACAACAGTGGAATAGCTCTAACCCTGAGATAATGTTGGATATAATATATTTTTGCTCAAATATATCAATCAGACAGCTGCAGCTGATTCAGAACACTGCTGCTCAAGTCCTCACTAAGACCTTGATCACATCACTCCAGTTCTGAAGTCCTTACACTGACTTCCTGTGTCTCGAAGAATTGATTTCAAAGTACTTTTGCTAGTTTATAAATCACTAAACGGTTTAGGGCAAAAATACATTTCTGACCTGCTAGTACACTATGACCCCCCCCCCACAGACCTCTAAGGTCATCTGGAACAGGTCTACTTTCTGTTCCAAGTGTCAGAACTAAACAGTGGGAAGCGGCTTTCAGCTTCTATGGTCCTCACATCTGGAATAAACTCCCAGAAACCTGCAGGTCCGCTGCTACTCTCAGTTCTTTTAAATCAATGCTGAAGACCTTTCTTTTTGGTGTTGCCTTTCTCTAAATGGCGTTCATTTCTTTACTGTTTAATCTCTTACACTGCACTGTAATTTTTATTCTTGTGTTTTATTCTGTTTTTATTTT